GAACCGACTCCACGGCACATAACAACAACAACAACTACCTATTCCATCTAATTTCTTTCAACAACCTGTCTAATCGGCATATTCTCTGCAGTTTGTCACTTCCCAGATCTGCTTGCTCAGCAGGGGGTGACAATGATATCAGGGTGATAAAACTGCTCGTTGTCTTTCACACTAAGCTCATTTCTTCAGTAACCATTTCTTAACTACTGATTTCTTCCTCCTAACTGCCACATATATGTTATAGCACATTATCACACATGTTTTAAATTTATCTTTCTATGATTATGTTTTTTCAACTAACTAACTATATGGTCCCTTTGAGTAGAGACAGGATTTTTTGTTTGTTTCTTTTTATAATTACTTCAGATGTATAAGATGATGATGAACCTGCCATAGCATTGTATAAGGGACTACAGATACCTGAACTAGGGAAAGTCTCAATCATGAATGGCTAGAATAGATTTTAAACAGTTAAGTCACTGATGCAGGAGAACACAGAAATACAGTGAAACCAAACTTACCAGAGAAGACACTAGGTATCCTGGAAAGAAAGCTTTTGACCGTACGAATAGGAATCCCATTGTTTTCATCTTGCATGCGTGCTATGACATCTTCCATCTAAACAATAATAATAATAACATAATTATAACATTTAAAAAGCTAAATTTATGAAAGAAATCAATTTTATATGCTAGTTTTGCCCAACTAAGAATAACAACATATTTTTGCATTGGAACAATTTGTCATTTTCTGTTGGGTCAACAGTAGATGAAGAAAACAGTAAAAAAGAGACATGTTTGGGTCCATTAAATTTACTAATATGGAGCACAGTGTGTCTGTAGGATAAGCACGGGGAGGTAAACTACAAGGTCAGCAGATTGAGCCCACCTACAGCTCCACTGGAGAAAGATGAGACTATCGATTCCTGAAAAGATTTAAAGCCTTGGAAATCCTACATAGATTGAGTTGGAACCAACTCGATGGCATTTAACAGCAACCAGAAAGCTACTAGTTGTGTGCTTTGAAGACTGCCTCTGTTCTGGTTTCACATGCTTTGGTTCTAAAGGTTGAGATAAGAGTATTTATTTTTAAAGTTGTCTGAAACCACTGTTATAGTAAAAGCTATACTTTATCAATGTTAACTTGACTGAATTCAGTGAAAAAGAAAATTGAAGTACCTGCTTTGAATTTCTCTTGAAGCAAGAGAGTTTTATGTTAAATTCTGAATGCTTTTTTAGAAATGCAGGACATATTTCCAGCAACTGCTGCTTCTCCTGTCCACCCACTCTGCTCAAGTGGGCTATACAACACACACACACACACACACTCACACACAGCATTAATGTAATGATATAACACACAGCCTTCTTTTCATTTTATGAATTAAGTGTATCTGTCTTTCTTCAATCTCTTTTTTGGAAAAAGTTTCACTTTAAAGGACTGAGATTCACAAAGTCTAATGTGGAATTTAGTTGTGAAACATTCATCCAAACTATGCATTATATTCTTCTCATGTGCTTATAAACAAAGCCCATACACTCATATACTCTCTCACATACATCCATTTGTTGTTTTTAGGTGCCAATGAGTTGGCACCAACTCATAGTGACTCTATGCAAAACAGAACAAAACACTGCCCAATCCTGGGCCAACCTCACATTTATTGCCACGCTTGAGCCCACTGATGCTGCCACTTTGCAATCCATCTTGCTGGGGGTCTTGCTCTTTTTCTCTGACCCTTCACTTTACCAAATATGATATCCTTCTCCAGTGAGAGGTCCCTCCTGACAATATGTCTGAAGCATGAGAGACGAAGTTTGGCCATCCTGCCCTCCAAGGAACACTCCAGCTGTACTTGTTACAACACTGATCTGTTGGTTTTTTGGCAGACCATGGCGCTTTAGGTATTCTTCTCCAACACCATAAAGCAAAAGCATCAATTCTTCTATGGTCTTCCTTATTTGCTGTCCAGCACGCATATGAGGTTACTGAAAATACAATGGCTTGGGTCAGGCACACCTTAGTCCTCAAGCTGACATCTAGATATCACAGGTTGTTAATGAGTCTTCCTCCAATCCTGATACCACGCTTTTCTTCATGTAAACCAGCTTCTCAGATTATTTGCTCAGCATACAGGTTGAATAAGTATGGTGAAAGAATGCAACCTTTCTTAATTTTAAACCATTCAGTGTTCCCATGTTCTGTCACTACACACACTCAAACCCAAAGCAGTCTAAAAACAATTACTGATCATCTATCTACACTAGAAGATACTTAATACAGCTATTGCTGTTGTTGTTAAGTACCATAGAGTTGGTTCCTACCTATAGCAATCGTTTATAGGGTTTCCTAGGAGCAGCTGGTGAGCTTGAATGGCTGACCTTGTGGTTAAAACCAACTTTGTAGTCCAGAGCATTAACCCACAGCGCCACACCAGGACTCCATCACAGTTATTATGGGCATGAAAATAAACACAACACCATTCCTTTTCTCAAAAACTCAGTCAATATTGAAAACAATGGTGAAATTTGAATAAGGTCCCTAGTTTAGTTAAGAGTGTTACATTTGTCATAATGTGGTGGCTTGTGTGATGCTCTTAAGCTGGAAGCTATGTCACCAGCAGGGTTGTGCATGGTAAACCGATTTCACATGAGCTTCTTGACCAAGACAACTTCTGAATTATTTAGCCACTAGAAATCTTATTAATAGCAATTGAACACTGTCAGAGATAGTGCAAGAAGATGAGCCTCTCAGGTTGGTAGGGATTCAAAATATAATTAGAGAAAAGCTCGCTCCTAAAAATAGATTTGACCATGGTGATGTAAATGGGATAAAGCTTTCAGGACCTTCATTTGCTGATGTGGTACAGCTCAAAATAAGGAGAGACAACTAAAATCTTCCATTAATGATCCAAACATGGAATGTAGGAAGTATAAATCTAGGAAAATACGAAGTTGTCAAAAAATGAAGCACATAAACATCAATATTCCAAGCATTTCCGCTCACCACTCATCTGTCAGTTTGTTGTACTGTGGTGGCTCTCTGTAAGTTATGCCATTGGTATTGTAAATACCAGCAGGGTCACCCATGATAGGCAGGTTTCAGATGAGCTTCCAGATGAATACAGACTAAGAAGAAGGAGTATAGAACTACTTCTGATTATTTAGTCACTGAAAACCTTATGAATAGCAGTGAAACAGTGTCAGATATAGTGCTGGAAAATGAGACACTCAGGTCAGAAGGAACTCAAAATGCAACTGAGGAAGAATGTCTCCTCAAAGAACAGTTGAATGGTATGATGCGAAGTGAGTAAAGCCCTTGGGAATAAAGCCCACAGGACTTTCATTTACTGAAGGGGCACAACTCAAAATGAAGAGAAACAGCTGCAAACATCCATTAATAATCATAACATGGAATGTACAAAGTACGAATCTAGAAAAATTGGAAATTGTCAAAAATGAAATGGAACACATAAGGATCAGTATCTTAGACATTAGTGAGCTGAAATGGACTGGTATTGGCCATTTTGAATCTGACAACCACATGGTTTACTATGCCGGGAATGAAAAATTGAAGAGGAATGGTGTTCTAACCATTGTCAAAAAGAATATATGCAGGTCAGTCATAAGGTACAATGCTGTCTGTGATAGGATAATATCCATGCACTTACAGGGAAGACCAGTTAATACCACTATTATCCAAATTTACGCACCAACCACTAAAGCCAGTGAGGATGAAATAGAAGACTTCTACCAACTTCTTCTACCTGAAATTGATCAAACGTGCAGCCAAGATGTATGGATCATTACTTGTAATTGGAATGCAAAGGTTGGGAGCAAAGAGGAAGGATCAGTAGTTGGAAAATAAGGCCTTGGTGATAGAAATGATGCTGGAGATTGCATGATAGAATTCTGCAAAATCAATGATTTGTTCATTTCAAATACTTTATTGCGACAGCATAAGGGACGACTGTACACATGGACCTCACAAGATTGAATGCACAGAAATCAAATTGACTACAAGTGCGGAAAGAGATGAAAGAAAAGCTCTATATAATCAGTCAAAACACCACCAGGGGAAGAGTGTAAAACTGACCATTAATTGCTCATATGCAAATTCAAGCTGAAGCTGAAGAAAATGAAAACAAGTCCATGAGGGCCAAAATATGACCTTGAATATATCCCACCTGAATTTAGAGATCATCTGAAGAACAAATTTGATACATTAAACACTAAAGACCAAAGACCAGAGAAGAGGGATGACATCAAGAACGTCATACAGGAAGAAAGCAAAAAGTCATTAAGAAGGCAAGAAAGAAGGAAAGGGTCAATATGGATATCAGAAGAGGCATTACAACTTGCTCTCCAGTGTACAGATTCTATAGCAAATGGAAGAAATGAGGAGGTATAAAAGCTAAACAGAAAATTTCAAAGGTCAGCTCAAGAAGACAAAGTCAAATATTAAAACAAAATGTGCAAACATCTAGAGTCAGAAAATGAAAAAGGAAGAACACACTCAGCATTTCTCAAGCTAGTTGAACTAAAGGAAAAAATTCAAAACTCAACTTTCATTATTGAAGGTATCTTTGGGTAAATTACTGAATGATGCAGAGAGCATCAAAAGAAAATGGAAAGAATACATAGAGAAAATGTACCAAAAGGAAATGGTTGATGTTCAACCATTTAAAGAGGTAGCACGTGACCAAGAGCCAATGGTACTGAAGGAGGAAGTCCAAGGTGCATTGAAGGAATTGGCAAAGAATAAGGTACCAGGAATTTATGGAATAAAAATTGAAATCTTTCAAGAAAGTGAGGCAGCACTGGAGGCACTTACTCATCTATGCCAAAAAATTTGGAAGACAAACTATCAGGCCGACTGATTGGAAAAGATCTGTATAAGTGCCCATTCCAAAGAGAGGTGGCCCAATGGAATGTGGAAATCATTGGACAATATTTTTGATGTCCCATGTGAGTAAAGTTTTACTAGAGGTAATACAGAAATGGCTGCAAGCATACATTGACAGAGAACATCCAGAGGTATTCAGAAGAGGACGTGGAACAAGGGATATCACTGCTGATGCTGGATGGATCTTGGCTCAAAGCAGATAATACCACAAAGATGTTTACCTGTGCTTTATTGACTACATAAAGGCTTCTAATTATGTGAATCATGAAGCTATGGACAACATTGTGAAGTATGAGTATTCCTGAACATTTAACTGGGCTCATGAGGAATCTGTACCTGGACAAAGAGGCAATTGTTCCACAAGAACATGGGAATATGCATGGCTGAAAATTAAGAAAGGTTTGTGACAGGGTTGTATTCTTTCACAATACTTATTCAATCTGTATGCTGAGCAAATAATGTGAGAAGCTGGGTGACATGAAGTAAAACTGGCATCAGGACTGAAGGAGAACTCATGCATTAACAACCTGTGATATGCAGATGATACAATCTTGCTTGCTGAAAGTGAAGATTTAAAATAATTACCGAGGAAGACCAAAGAGCACAGCCTTCATTATGGATTGCATCTCAATGTAAAGAAAACAAAAATCCTCACCACGGGGACCAATAATCAACATTCTTATCAACGGAGATAAGATTGAAGTTGTAGGCGG